ACCTAAATCATTTGTCATTTGGCTTATCCCTCCTGGAACATCAACCCTGTTACATATCTTAGTATCATCAGCAAAAAGACATACCTTACCATCAAGACCTTCTGCAATATCACTAATAAAAATATTAAAAGAGAATGGGTCCAAGTACAGATCCCTGAGGTACCCCACTGGTGACAAGTCCAAGCTTCGAATATATTCCATTAACTACAACCCTCTGTTGCCTGTCACTCAGCCACTGCCTTACCCATTCAACAATATTGGAATCCAAACTTAAAGATTGCAGTTTATTGATAAGCCTTCTATGTGCAACAGTGTCAAAAGCCTTACTGAAATCTAGGTAGCAATGTCTACTGCACCAATCTGATCTATTATTTTAGTTACCCAATTAAAAAAATCAACAAGATTGGTTTGGCATGATCTCCCTGAAGTGTAAACCCATGTTGTTCTGATCTTGGCCTCTTTACGAGTTGGCTCCTCAACAACTTGTTTTAGAGACAATCCCAGTAGGGAGTTTAGAATATGTGCTCCTGGCACAAGTAGCTAATTTTGTTTTCCAATTTACATCAGGAAGATTAAAGTCACTCATGATGATAACTTCCCCCTTCATTGTCATTTTAGCTATTTCCTCAACTAGTAGATTATCTAACTCTTCAATTTGTCCTGGGGGCCTATAAATCACACCTACACGAGTTACTGTGTGATTACCAAATTCTAACGTAGCTCAAACGGACTCTATGTTTGCCTCACTAACTTTTATTAGGCTAGATTTTATGCTATCCTTCACATACAAGGCCACCCCTCCTCCTTTCTTGCCTTCCCTATCTTTCCTATATAAAGAGTACCCTGGTATTGCTATGTCCCAGTCATTTTTCTCATTGTACCATGTCTCAGTAACAGCGACTAAATCTACACTATCAGTTGCCATTATTGCCACAAGTTCATGGATCTTATTCCCTAAACTGCGAGCATTTGTAGACATGACTCTAAGCTTATCATTTTTTTTAACACACTTGCTACAGGCACCTTCTGTCCTTGTTTTGGGGGACAATTGGATTGATGTTTTATCACCCTTTTGCCCCCTCTCCTAGTTTAAATACATCCTAGCAAAACCTCTGAACTGCTCACTGAGAACATTTGTTCCCTTTTGAGAAAGATGCAAACCATCTTTTTTTGTACAGCTTATCTCCATTCCAAACAGAGCTACCATGAGAAATAAAGCCAAATCCTTGCTCCCGACACCATTCACCAAGCTACAAATTAAAGTCCCTAATACGCATCCGCCTGTCGTTCTGAGTGTTATGTACAGGCAGAACTTCAGAGAATGACAGTGTGGAAGCAACCTGCCGTATATCATTGGCAAAAACACAAACTTCCTTTACCTCTGAAACCTCATTGCAAGCCAAGTCATTTGTCCCTAGATGGACAAGTACATCCAATTCCTCTTCCTGCTTTGCTCGCTTAACAATATTACAAATATGTCTCCTGTCTCTGTGAGCAGTAGCTCCAGGAAGACATCTCACAAGACCACTATTGTCCAGCTCCACACCTCTTATGATAGAATCCCCCAACAACAACTGCTTTCTATTAGGCCTCACCATAGTCTCACCATAGACCGAGGCGGTCTCCACAACACCACTAGCCTCAGTGCCACTCTCCACAACACCACTATCCTCAGTGCCTCTCTCCACAACACCACTAGTCTTAGTGCCTCTCTCCACAACACCACTAGCCTCAGTGCCTCTCTCCACAACTCTCAATATCCCTATACAACGTAGCCCCTTCAAAGAAAAAAGGGGACAATTATTGCAGTGAAGGGGGACTGAATGGGTATCTAGTTTTTTCTTTATGTTGTTAATATGTTCCAAAAGTCTCACTTTTAGACATCTCTTTGTACGACCAACATATTGGCTGCCGCATGGGCACTGAAGCAAATACACAACGCAGTCCGAACGGCAGCCAATCTCTGATTTAATAGAAAACTGTTTCCCTGTAACGGAGCTACTATATGATGTCACCTTGTCTGTGTTTACTTGAAAACAGGCTTTACAACTTTTACAACCCCGGAAACCTTTTATCCCTTTTTTGATATTTTTAAATCCACTTTTTAGAGCATAACTAGGTGCTAATAAATTCTTGAGATTTTGTTTTTTCCTATAGATTATTTTCGGCCTTTTTGACAGATGCTCCCCCAAAATGGGGTCCTCTAACAATATTGGCCAATATTTCTGTAGACTTCTTTTAATTCTTGAATGATCCACACTATATTGTGTGAAAAAAGCTTGTTTGAAGTCTTCCCCCTTTTTCTTATTACTAGGGCCATCCATTAAAAACTCATTTCTACTCCTTTTAGACATCATCTGGATTTCCCTCCTAATTTTCTTCGGGTTGTAGCCTTTTTTAACTAGTTTATTGGCTACATGTTGAGCCTGTATCTGAAAATCCTTAGTATGGGAACAGTTCCTCCTCACTCGAGTAAGTTGTCCCTTAGTGATCCCCTTCAACCAAGGTTGATGGTGACAGCTACGTTTATGAACATAGTTGTTCCCATCTGTTGGTTTAAAGAAACATTTAGTTTTGATCTCACTTCCCTCACTAAAAAGGGTGAGATCCAAGAAATTTATTTCTCTACGATCCCATACTGGAGAAAACTTTAAATTGTACTCATTTTGATTTAGACAATTGACAAA